GACTGAAACAGTGCTGCTGAGTATGGTGAGCGGAGATAGGGTGGGGGAGCTCCTCCTAAAATCATTTCCACTGTTTTCAACATGTTCAGCTCCAGGTTGACCACACCACAGGCCCAGCTGTTCAACCTCCCATCTGTAGGCCGACTTGTCACCATCTTGAATGAGACTGATGACTGTTGTGTCATCTGCAAACTTTGGGATATTTACAGAGGGGTCTCGTGAGGTGCAGTCATGGTATAGAAGGAGAACAACAGTGGGGAGAGCGCACATCCCTGAGGGGCACCTGTGCTGATAGACCAAGTGCTGGATGTGGTTTTCCCCAACTTCCCCTGCTGCTTCCTGTCCATCAGAAAGCTAGTGATTCACTGACAGGGGGGGCAGGCACAGTGAGCTGGGTAAGTTTGGAGTAGAGGATGTCTGGGATGATGGTGCTAAATGCCGAACTGAAGTTGACAAATAAGATCAGAGCACAGGTCCCTGGTGAGTCAAGGTGTTGAAGGGTGTAATGCAGCGCCATGTTGACTGCATCATCCACTGACCTGTTTGTTCGGTTAGCAAACTGCAGGGAATCCAGCCAGGGGTCTGTGACTGCCTTCAGGTGGACCAATGTGGTTACACTTTATTAAATCCTAGTCAGAAAATATGACCCAGGCAAAAAAGTGGGACTTTTCTTGTATACTTTCATTACACAGCATCACACCTTTTGAAACATAAGACATGTTATAAAAGAATAAACCTCAGAGGAATCATAAGAATAAGATACACAAAGAAACTATGAGTTACAACAACCTAACTACCACTATTATTGTCCGTAACCAAGAAAATAATCTTAACTGTTTTACAGTTGGATGACAGCAGAAACATCCAAGTCCGCACGATTATTACAGGCCACGCAACTTGCTCACTAACAGTATAAATTGTGTTTTGACGCATGTAGGACAATCACAAAAATGTGATTCCATCACTGACCAATGAGCAAGAAACAGGAACTTGAGAAATCAAATAATCGGGGTTGGAGTTACAAAGAAACAAGGGTAATTAAGATTACCAACTGTATAACTCACATCTCCTTCTCCTCATGAAGCCGTGTGGACTGTTCCTCCAGCTGACTCAGCTGCTCCTGTGCCAAGATCAGCTCATGGCTAGTGTGCTCCAGCTCCCGTGCTAACTCATCATTCGTTTGCTTCAGCTTCTCATTCTCCTCTTTAGTCATATGTTGTTCACTGTGAAGATCCTGACACTGACGCTCCAACTGGAGACAGACCGGTGGTCAAAAAGGAGACAATAAAAAGTGAAGACAATTCAGTTAAGAAACTTACAGTAAATACAACTGCATCAGCCAGCCACTGCCTCCCTAAGCACATCAACATAAACACAATCAGCAACACTTGAAATTTATTTGCCAATTTAAAGTCCTTGTGTTAAGCAAAAGTCATAGTAATAGGATGAATGTGAGGAGACGGCATGATGTGAAGACAATAAATTCAAATGGCTGACTGCCTCTGAATAATTGTAATATACTGTTTTTGTAACATGAAGCCCTTTAATACATACAGTAGAATAGTGAGCAAAACCACATAAGACTGTTTATAAGCACTGTTTGCCAGACGTAGAGTTTTGAGTGCTGAAATGCCAGCCCTACTATCTAGCCAGAGAGCATAGTGCACCCACTTTGAGACCTCCAGCCACAGCACAGAGAGGAGGCACTGGCGGGGACGAAGCAGCCTACAGGAGGGAGGTGGCTGGTCTGATGTCATGGTGCAAGAACAATAATCTCAGCCTCAACACAGACAAGACAAAGGAGATGATAGTGGACATGAGGAAGGAGAGGAGACCTCATCGGCCACTGTTCATCCGGGGGCTAGAAGTGGAGAGGGTGAGCAGCTTTAAATACCTGGGTATCCACCTCAGTGAAGA